TAATACATATCCTTTTACCTAAAAATTGCTAGCTAGAGTGGATATTGGAAACTATGAAATTAAAAAAGCTATAAAAGGAGAAGACACGAAAAAGGCAAAATCCATCCATCATTAATTTTGCAGCTAATTATTATGAGCCTGTGATAGCTTAAAACTTCCTACCTTTATAGTTTCCTAAGATTGTAGCCTCGTTTAACCATTTTTTTTCCCCAGTTTCAACGAGTACTTTGTCACGTCTCTACTTACGGGCTACTTCTATGCATTTCTCTTTCTTTCATTCTTTTAGGTTAATTTGTTTAACTGGCTGTGATACATAAGCTTCAGTTTTCTCTCTTTTTCTTTTAAATTTATTTATCAGGTTGGCGATAAGATCAGGACCCCAGAAAGTCTCGGCCTTTTAGCACATTTAATTTTCAGCCATAGTCACCCACGTCGATTTTTTTTTAACCTTTGTCATATTTTGTTCTCTTGCGTTGTTCTCATTTCTGTGCATGTGTTAAACTACTAGTTCGTTATTCTACTTCTTCTATACGACGTTCCATCATTTACACTTTAAAACAGATGTAAATTCTTATACATGATATTTTACAACGATTAACTCTGTTACTAAGAATACTGTTTCAGTGGCTCGACTACAAGTAGTCACCGGGTAATTTGTCTTCCCTCTTAGAAAAAAAACCATTATTTTTCGTAGCTTTAGGGATGGGAAGGATGTTCAGCAAATCATACGTACAGGGTGTCTACTAAAACAGGCTGGTCAAAAATAAGTACTTTTACAGTACTTTTTCAGTACATTCTTGAGAAATTCAGTACCTCCTTCAACAGAAAAATTCCGTACTTTTTCAGTGCCTCCATTTGACGAAATTAAAAAAAATTCAAAAATTTGAAATTGCGACAAAAATGACAAAAAATTTCAAAAAGTTCCGGACCTTTTTGCGGAATTTCCTCATTTTTTCGGTACTTCCGGACCGTCCTTATAAACTCAGTTCTATTTCCGGAAATTCCGGACTTGTAGACACCCTGTACGGGCAGCAATTTGAAAATAAATTGAAAAGCTACGGGTAGAACGTCGATTAACGCTGCGGTCGACGCTTGAGCGCAAGAAAATGACCAATGGTTGAGAGGAAGACACAGAGGGCGGTTACTTTCAGCTGAGCACGAGCATGGATCCTAACTGTTATGGGATAGGCGATGGAGGAAACATAATTAGGATTTAGCAGAAACAATACGCACAAACGCTCCGAGGTGCACGACTTGGGAGACTCACAACCCTTCGAAATGCGAAGGGGGAAGTCGAGGGTTCTCTCATGGGACTCCGAAAAGGAAGCCCGCAAACATTAGGCGGTTGCTGTCTTCGCCTTTCGCCACTTTAACCCAACCTGCCGCGCGCCGCGGCCGCGCCGCTCACCCAATAGTCTCTCTCCTCCATAGTCATACGTACGAATTCTGTCCGTTTTGTCAGATCGAAGTTAAAATCCGCCTTACATTAGTTCCTGAATTCAAGAATCGGATAAATTCATTACTATTAAGGTCTCTTCAGATCACTGGAAAAAAAAAACACATTGGATCTAGAGTCCAGACTCTTGGAAACATTGACAAGAAAAAATACTCTTGATTCAATCAGATTTAAGCTTAAATCAAAAAGAAACCCACTCAAATTAAGAGGCTTGGTTCTTGATTTAAGCAAAAATCTGATTGAATCAAGAGTATTTTTTCTTGTCGATGTTTTTAAGAGTCTGTACTCTAGATACAATGTGTTTTTTTTTTCCCAGTGATGGATCATCAAAGTTGGAACGATGCATTTGGGTGCGATCGATGGATTTCAAATCTAAAATGCCAGAATATTGTTTTAGGAACATCGGAATGTCAGTCTCTAGACTAATCACTATGGGACGATCATTCCGAAAGTTGTCTTTCAGAACCTGACAAAATTGTCAAAAGTACGGTTATCGCTAAAAATCAATGTTCGTACATCGAAATCGGTGTAACATTTGAAACCGTGCTGATGAACTTGTTTCAAGACATTAAAAATTGATGCTTTTCGCGCCACCGTTTCTTGATAACTGGTCCATGTACTGACATTTTCGAATTTCCTGTGAAAGTACTTAAAATAGCTAAATTTAAGTAGAAAAGATATAGAAAGATGTTGATTTATATGTACATTGTCCAAAGGCCCACATCCCCTGTAGTTTATGATATAATTGAGGCGCTTGGAGGACAAGGCGCATAAGTGTAGTTCTTGAAAAAATTGAGATATTGATGATTTCAACTAAAACTAGTCTTAATGCAGACTCTGTGAAATATTCGCTCCAAATTCCAATTTTGAAGCGTAAGAAAGTCAGTTTGAACTTTTTTTCTACCATAAGGATCTATGTAATATTGAAACTTCGGAAACGTATTCTTAAAGCAAAAACTGCACTTATACGCCTTGTCCTCTAAGCCTCTCATTTACACTTTTGCAATTTGCATTTTCCGACGATCTTAGTTGGATATAGATTTGGCGGCGTTTCCTCCGGTTGTGCCGCAATGTGGGGATTCATGTCTCCCTTAAGCGACTGCAGGCCCCTCTTATCAGCTAAACGACTCCGCTTGTGGTTCCTCTTTCAATTAGTTTCAACGCGCCTGCAAAGCTAGCCTGATAATCAAAACCCGAAGCATCACACTGCGCAATGCTTATCCGTCCAATCTGTCTCGAGCCCCTCAGCTTCTCAAAATCTCACGAATCGTAACATTTTTCAAGCACCTTCTAGTTGCAACTGGTATCGGATACATTGCAAATTGATACTGTCTGCGGCCTGTAAACCTGAGTGAGTTTCTGGAGTCGTGGCATACCAGTGCTCCCATTCCATGACAATCAAAAGTTCCATGATTCGGAACTTTTTTGTTCCAATTTCCTCCACTCTATGACAGTCAAAAGTTTCGGGATTCCTTTTAGATGTTTCAAATGTTCCAAGAAAGTTCCAGAGAATGCAAAAGATCTGGAAACTTTCAGGAATTTCAAAAGCTCCGGGAAAAACCGAATTTACTGGGAAAATTGTGAATATTATTTTCCAAAATTTTCAAACAATTTTATACGCAATTTCATCTAAAATATCTGAAAATTTCAAGGAAAAATATGCATTAATGTTGTCAAAAATACGTGTTTTATCGAGAGAAAGGCAACTCTCGAAGGTTCATACGGCGTTTTTCCTTAGTATGGCAGAATATGTAACGATATTTTTGCTAGGGTTTAAATAATCAAGCCGATTGACTATGTTTCCCACTCGGGAATGACCCCTGTGCCAAACAATCATAAAAAAGTTGCAACTCGTGAGCATTGAGGGGGGAAAGGGGGGCCGGTGTGGGGGGGGGGCTATGATAAAGGGATAAGACGATTGTCACTAATACCTCTCAATTATTAAATGTTTCGGGAAATCAGGTCATGGGAGCAAAGGATGTTTCTCCACTTTGGGTCTAATCGAGCCGGATTATTATGCACGTGTTATGCTAAGCTTATTAGTCTCCAAACTCCGGTAGTTGAAACACGGGTGATATAAAAGCGGTAATTAAAAGTTTCCTCGCCGGCTCCCGTCCGTTATATCATCTATTAACCAGGGGCCGGGGGGTAACCACCGGTTGGTGCTTTGCGCCTCCCCCCCCCTCCGACCCCCCGCGCTGAGTACGAGTAAATAACTTATCGCTCGTTCGGAAAATTATACACCACAAAAAAGCAATGAATTGCTTTACGCGAAGTTGGAGTTTTACGTGTGGAGTACTTATAAGCAGAGGGTGTGTCGCAGATAGAGTTTCCGTTTAATTAGTGGGAAAGGCTCGGCACGACTGTAGGGACACGAGTGGGTACGGTGAACTCTTTGTTTTTTTGAGAAAAGTACGCGAGATTGTGAAATATTAATGAATATAGCGTTAAGCGTTAGGTTAGTTGCGTCCTTAGTGCCTCAAATTTGAACTTGAGAAATAATCATTTGAAGACTGTTCTTTAAAACTGACATAAAAAAAGACAATACGAGAAAAACTAACCCTAGTAAAAGTGAATCAGCCTGACGTCAGGCTATGTTTTATAAACTACCCTGAGTCAGACTGATGTCAGCCTGAATCAATCAGACTCAGGGTAGTTTATGAAACATAGCCTGACGTCAGGCTGACTCACTTTTACTAGGGAAAGGATAATAGATTTCCATTAGAAATAAAACTTATTTCTTGAAATTCAGTTGTATTCTCTTTGATGAGGGAACCTTTACGTAAAAGGAAAGAATTTTAGTGTATCTATCATTCAACATCTCACCTATTTAATCAAAATTATTAAGAGGGAGAGTGTGTTTCGAAAGAATGTCTCTCGATTTATTCGGAAATTTTTCTAATCAAGAGCAAAAGGAGAAAAATGTCCTAGTGGGAACTAAAAAAATCCTTTAAATTGGAGGAAAAATACCTTGGTAAAAATACTGGATGAAAAATCATTGTGAATGTTAATTGAACTCTAGTTTAATACCACGAATAATATTGAATTGTTCATGAAATAATAAGGTGATGATAGGTTTGAGTTGGATCGATTCAGCGTAAAAAGAGCTCGGAAGCCACAATGCATGACTACTTTGCATCACGCATCGCGAGGCGCCTTCAACTAATCGATTAGGCAAGACCACGACACTGGAGTTCAAATAGTTGCTTCCCGCAGAATTGAAGCATTTATTACAGTCTCGCGTGACGGACAGCGCGAAAAGAGAGGTTCCACCGCGAGGAATCTTCCTATCTGTCGATTCAAATACTTTCGGAAATATTACCTTAAAAATTCTATAAAGCTGTTCACGTATTGTAATGTCGGATTGTTTTCATTTTTAATTTATTGATTTTTTTTTAATTAATTAATTAACGAATTCGGAACTGGAAGGAACTTTGAACCAGCGCGAGCAAAAGCACTCCAATAAATCAGCAATATAGGCATTTTTGTTGCTCGAAATATTTTCCGTGTTTATTTTCCGAATTTTTCAAAGGAAAGTACATACCTCTGACGACTAGTCGAACTGGGTTAGATGTGAGGGCATCTTGAGTGATGAAATCGGAAGCCGTCACTTGGCACTCCCAAGCTCCGTCGTCGAAGTCCAAAGAGGCTTGCCGTATCCACAAACTGCAGTCTCCGTCCTCCTGTCTCCCAGCCCACTCGTACTTCTTCGCATATATACCTACGGGCTGCGGACACAAATATATAATTCATATATTAATTTTAGAAAATTAAACAAGTATTACATACTATATGTGGTACAATTTCGGGTTGTCCATAAATTACGTGACACTCTAGGGGTAGAGGGGTCTCCGTAATTTTGTAACCGAGCGCGACAGAGGGTGGGAGGGGTGTCTAGCTCAACGTTACATAACAGTTATAGGTATACTGGATTTCAACTTTTTTTCTTATTTTTTAATATTACACTAACATTTATTGTCTTTGGTATTCATTATTTCAATTGTATTTTTTACAACATCTCTTTCCAACTTGATATTCTTTCCTTAAATACGTATATGTCTTGGTTTAGTGCTTCAAGTTTTCATTCATCCGCAATCACATTTAAATATAATTTATCAGTCTTGCCACTTTATTGAGGCCATCCATTTACGTATGCCTCTTTCAAGTTTTTTCTTTTTCTCGTAAAAAAAGGGGGTAGGGTGTTGGGCCAAGTGTTGCGTATTGACTTTAGGATTGTCTGTACCAGCGCGCAGCGTTACGAACGCGTTTCAATGGGTGGGGGGGGGGGGGGGGGNGAAGGGGTCAAAAAATTGCGTTACGTAATTTATGGACAGTCCCTCTGCGAAAAAAATAAAAATAACAATAAATTAGCTCAAAGCACGCACAATGTGACAAAATAAATGGTGGACTAAAGTCAACAGAGATCTATCTTGGAAAGGACAAAAACGGAACGCCACTGAATCATAGGCAGGACGTCAAAATTAAAACGAAGCGCGCCAAACTGATAAACGTCCAAACGCGAAAATCGGTAAATCCGTAGGCTTGAATGTTTCATAAGCCGGATTCATTAAATTAATTTATCCGACAAATGAATGTTAAAACATGCGGAGGGATACATTCTGCGTCCGGGAAAAAAGAGTTGACGATATGAACAAGTTTCGGAAGTGTTTCACAAAGGCGGCCGACATTTGGGTCAGCTCACGTTTATGGTATTGTTCACCTCAATTTATTCATTATTCAGGGGTTTTCAATGATGCAATGAATGCGAGACTGTGTTTCCGAGAGCATTTTTCGCCGTAACCCATTTTCAGCCGGATCAAAATTATTCAAATGCATACAAACTGGAGTGACAGTTTGCCGGGCAAAACGGGAGTTTGGGGCGCTTTTAAAGAGTTAAATATGGAATTATTTTCCGCCTTTGGATTTTGGGATTTGTTTCACTCTCCACGTTTGCATTCTGTATGGAATCATTCGAATCGTATTTTATCTAGAGAAGGGGGAGGGGTGTCAGGCCACAATATGTTTATTTTAGCGGGAAACTTACGATCCGATCGTCAAATCATTCCTAATTGACGTAAAGTTCGGATACTAAAAATAGTATTATTGAAAGATTTATTAACTTGATTTCATTTGAGTATTCTGAATTACTAGAGAGGTACAATTTAATAACATCAAACCATACTACAGAAAATAATCATTTCATGACAGCGAAGGTGGAAAACGTAATTGAAAAAAAATGAAATCAACGATGTAAATAAAAGTAATTTCACAGTTTAATCGTGGAATAAGTAAGGAATTCCACTTTTACCCACCCCAACTGGTGATGAAAAATTATATGGGTGGTTTTTTAGCCATTACGTAAAAAATTGAAATTATTTTAATCCCTGTACTATGAAAAGGAAAAAATATAACCGGTGCACTCAGCTGTATCGACTATACAGACACACGTAAAAAAGGTAGTTCCTACATTTTTAGAAAATTTTGTTTTCCTCAGATTAGTTTAATGATGTTGACGTTAATATTATGCATATTCTTGATACGGCCATCAGTGTATTTATTAGCAAATTAACTTCAGCGCTTTTCTTGCGGTAAATACTGTGTAGTTGCATGGACACCCAGCCCAATTCCCCATCTCCTGCAGTTGAAACTGTTTAAAATATGTTGAAACAGAATGAAACAACACAGCCCGCAGATGGCAATCGAATTGTAGATTACCGTGTCAGAACACTTTTGAACGCTCGCTCACACATATATGGATATGTTCTTTTATTAGATCAAAATTTAATCACAGAAACGTTCAATTGAATATCACTGGGATACCACCGATGAAAGAAGTTATTTTTGAGAAGTGGGTCGAGGACGCTGAGGTTTTCTTTGAATCAACGCACTTGGCTTTTCACTTCGGAAGAACCCACACTCCTGGGGATGACCTTTCTGCCCGAACCGCGTGGGAGGATAACTGCAGGGTTATCAAGTTGATTAGAAAACTAGAACATGCGCCACTAAACTTGGTAATTTTTGGATCATTTATAACCCTTCGATAACCTAGTTGACGAGTGAATATTGCACGGTTTTCGGAGAACGTCCTGAAAGTTTACGAACATTGGAGGCGAATAGGACAACTTGAGAGGACATTTTATTACACTGCGTTGCACTACTTATTGACATGCTCCACGAACTTACTCCACATTGAAAACTTATAATAATTATGGCATCAATATGGCTGGTGTTTAACCCATTTTTCCGTGATCTTTGCTCTCATTTGCCCCTGATGTAGAGTTCATCTCAGTGAATGAGTCATTTCATCGTCAACCCTTCAAATTAGATTATGGTCTAATTAAATCTATATCTCCGTTAATAGTGGACGTCGACACTTGGTTTTTGGACGGATTTTATCATTTTTTGTTGATCTATGATCTGAATTCATCAAAATAGGATTCTGTGACTTGCGAAGCTGACCCATTCACCCCTTGAAATAAAAAATAATAGTTCTCGTTCTCTATACTTTCTAATGAAAAATTTAGAATGCAAGTAACAACTTTACTTGAAAATAACAAGGTGGAAAAATGGTGTTGGGTCCACACCATTTCGCGAAGAAAACAAAGCTAAAAAGTTCCAAAAATTTCGATTTGAGTGGAACGATTTTTTAGCTCCTACACGGAGAAAACAACTTCGTGCGTGGAACCCGAAGTTTAGGTCATATGGATCTCTGAAGTTTTCGGATTGAGCATCTGAACACTTTAGGTCCAGCTGCTGGGGTTTGGATCACGCATATGAAGTACTTCAAGTGTAAGAACTAAAGTTTCAGATGTGTGATCCGAGCCTCGACAGCTAGACAGCTAGACCTAAAGTGGTCAGATGCTCAATCTGAAAACTTCAGAAATCCATAATATGACCTAAACTTCGGGTCCCACGCACGAGGTTTTTTTCTCCGTGCATGAGCTCGAAAAGTGTTACATGCAGTTCGGGCCATTTCTTAGTGTTTTCTCTCGCTTGAAAAAAAATCCAGCCTTTGGTCTTCCACAGCAGCAGCAGCAAGTGGGATATTTAAAATATAAAAGCGGCAAGCCTGCGGGTAGCCTTGAGGCTGCGTCTGGGACAGCGTCGTCGTCGCGAAATTTACAAGGAGACGCGACGGGTGAAACCGGGAAGCTTTGCCAAAAGCTCGCTAAATGAACTGCGAAAACAATCGGACGCCTTTAATTAAAACTAACGGACAATTAAGCGAACGCGAGCCGGAAGTAAAAATTGGCTTGTTTCGGAGCGACTCGCCATCATTTCAGAGGCCACTTGCGAAAGGTCGCAAAAGCCAACAACGCCGTCTCCTTTGAAAACTCCACGGAACGAGGATCTTGTCGAAAGATTATACTCTCGCTCACAAAGACAGAATTAGGCATTAAAAGTTGAATTGGGCGCATTTAAATCAGAAGGAACTATAGCCATTCCGCCGTGCTAAGGAAAAACGTCGTATGAACCATCAGGCGTTGCCAAATTTTCTTGGATAAAACACGGCTTTCCCGGTAAACTTATGAATATTTTTCTTCCAATTTTTCAGATAATTTTGTTCGCTATTTCACCCGAAATTCCTGAGAATTTCAGGGAAAAATATGCATACGTTTCCTTAAAAATAAACATTTTGGTGAAGGAAATTTGGCAACTCTCGAATGTTCATACGGCATTTTTCTTTAGCACGGCAGCATTGTGATATGAGCCCTGCCATGCATCTATTCTTATGGATTTCAGGGCTCATGCCATGATGGACCCCCAAAACTCAACGATGTAACTTAGATGAAGATAACTGTCCTGCTTACAGATTGTGAGCCCCAGAGTACATTCGAATGATTTCCAAAAGTACCTGCTGTTTTACCGGGAAAAATACACAGAGTTTAAAGCATGGAATAAAACAAATCACTGATTGCAATTACTATGCTTACGTCTACACTGATGTACATTACATAAAATTTCCTTGTTTCAAAACCTTTTCAATTTCACGAAAAGTAATTACACTACAAGGCTGTAAATGTGGCTTTGTTTGGCTTTTTATCTAACTTCAGAGAAAGCCTGAACATATGGAGACCAACTAAAATTAGGGTCGCAATGAACTATTTCCCCTTCAAAATAAATGTGTGTGCGTTCTGCCTATCTGCAACTAAAGTAATTGACTGACTATACAATAAACTAATTGTCAAAAGTATTTGCTTGCCTGCATGGCAGTAGCAGAAACTCCAGAGGCAGGAAGATAGAACGGTGAAAAAGGGTTGTAAACAGCCATGAGGGATCGTAAAACTAGGAGCAGCCAATGAATCATATTTTTATGGCTGGAATCACGTCCTCCATCCACGCCGACTGCCATAAGAGCCAAATCGACTGAAAAATCTCAAATTTCACCTCGAATTTCTCAGAAAACAGGGGAAAATAACGATAAATTTGGCGGTCGGGCAGGTGTAAATCAGCTGATTGCGCGCGAATTTCTACTTTGTAGCAAATAATTCACCGCCGAACGCAATTATGTGTGCGCACGGTATTTAATCGTCCCGTTCGGGTATTAATAAAAGCTCCCGCCATCCACGAGATACACGGACCGAGAAATTTCGGGCTCGTGATTAAAGTTAGGGAATGAATTCTGTTTGCATCGGTTAATTTTGACTGGGATGAATGATCTTTGGAATTTTCGATGTCGTGTACATCAATGAATACGCCTCGTTCCAAAGGTGCGAGAACTTAAAAAATAGAATCGATTAATTAATAAATACGATCAAAGCTCTTGCCAAGAAAAGAAGGTAAAGGATTACTGTAGTATTTTGACAACATGCAGAACGCTTCTTATTTTAAAAAAATTGCGGATATGCCTCGTCCAGGATCTACAGACTGGTTACTGATACACTAGCAAGAATCCATGACTAAAGTCACGGGTCTAGATGCTTTGTCATAAACTATAATTTTAATAGAAGCATACTTCATTACTTGATTAATTTTCTAGAATTCAGAAGGATAATAGACCGGGATTTTTTTGTCCTCGACACAGTTTGATCGAAGAAAATAGAGCCCACCCGTTTTTCTATTATTTCTCGATTGAATCTATGCGTCGACCGGTTCAGGTTCATATGCTTCCACCCATTCTTGTCGATTTGGTACTATCTCGAGCCATCCGTTTAGTTAAAAGCTCTTATTTGAGTTCTTAGTGAACTTGCCATTTAATGAAGAAACCACTATTCGACCACGTGGGAGCTCGTCTTGCCTACACTAAAAATTGAAGGCGAACTGAAATGGAATCTCAGTAACCTCAACCGATTTGGTAAAATGCTATATTTATTGAGTAGATTCTGAATAGACGTGCGATTTCACGATGATATACCACTATTCCACCTCTTTCTCATTTTTTCCTTCTCATTCTCTTTTATTCTATTTATCTTCCTATCCTCAAAATTTTACGTTCTTGATTTTGTTGTGAAAATTTACCGATGTTGGTAGATTGCAGAGGTGAGAGAAACCAGAATTGCGAAGGGACCTCTTTAAAATAAAAGGCTTCTTCAATTTACCTTGTTGTCTTTTTGCCACGAACATGATCCGCGCTTATTTAGAACGATGCAGTCAAGTTTTTTATCTTCTCCGGGGTTCACTTCCGTGTAAATGGGTTGCCGATCAAACTGCTGCAGGGCCATCACATCTGAAACACAAAACACACGAATACAATTAGACTATAACACACGAATACAATTAGACTATAACACACGGCAAAATACAAAGCCACATGCTCGAACATAAAAAAATTTACACGAACATAAGCATTGATACATAAACATGTCCAACGATTTAATCTCGTCGTATAATTCTCGAACTTTCATTTTTCGAAAGATTCGAATTCATCTTAAGAATATCTCAAAAATAACGAGGGAAATTGTGTTTCCTGAGGAGTCCGCGAGAAATGGAGTTTTCTTTCTTGTTGATTGCCTTCCTTTTCTAATTAGTCAGCGATCTTTCGCGAGACTTTAATTCTCCTTTCATCTCCCTTTGAAGAGACAAAATCCCGGGAATTGAACTCCCGGTATCCTGAAAACTAATAAACTTTTACAGGTTTACGATTACCTGACCTTTTGTACTGCCGTGCTGAGTAAAAACGTCGTATAAACATTCGAACGTTGCCAGATTTTTCCTTAGATAATATTTATTTTTGAAGAAAGTTATGAATCTTTTTCCTTGAAATTTTCAGAAACTTCGGGTGAAATTGCGAACAAAATTATCTGGAAAATTGGAAGGAAAATATACATAAGTTTACAAGGAAATTCACGTTTTATCGAAGGAAATTTGGCAACGCCTGAAGGTTCATATGGCGTTTTTGCTCGGCAATGAAGTGATATGAAATTGAGCAGAGACCCCGCGATGAAGCGGCTGGAGAGCCGATACCCGGCGAGATTTTCTAACAAGCGACTCATTTTTTACCTCTCCGCACGCTTGACACGCAAAGAATAATTAAGTTTCCTGGAATTGCCCTAACAGACGTGACCCCTCCGGATAAAGGCCGTGATGAACGCTTTTCGCCGATTAAAATGAAAAATAATTGTTTGCCGGCGAGCAAGGCGAACAGACGTTTCGTTAAAAATGTCCCTTTAGCTGAAAACCAGGTGAATAAACAGGGAGCAGCCGGTATTAATGACGTCACTAAGAGCCGCTGACGTCGTTGACTAATGACATAGCGCCTCGGGCCCGAGCTTCATTACTGAAGCCAGCTACTACCCTTTTCACCGCGGTTTCAGCTATCTCTGCACAACGCCCCGCTAAGAGTCAGTTCATTTGTTCATAATGCAATACTAATTTCTCTCAGCCATCTGTTCTCCATTCATTGTGAAATAACTCCCAGATTCCTCTTTTTTTATTATTTTCCACATTTTTCAGAAATGAGAGCCGCTTCCGTCCGCTCTGTAGCTAACTGCAGATCCATAACCTCGATGCGCAAATCGACTGTGTAAGTCGGCGATCACATAACTCGTTTGCAGTGTCTGAAAATCTCCGCCTCTATGTTATTTTTAAAAAGGAACAAATTGACATCATCCCTTGAAGTATTTGCAGAATTTACTTCGCACGGAGAAGAAAACTCACGGCAGATTTCAAAAATTGCCGTTGAGTAGTTTTCCGCTTAAAAAAGAAAGTATGACAGGAAGTCTGCGACGCCGCAAACCGAGTTATGTGATTACCAACTTACGCCGTTGGAATGGGACAGGTGGGGGTGAGAAACATGAAGGGGGGAATGATGAAGGGGGTGAGAAGGAAGTGAAGGGGGGGGGGGTAACATTGAAACCTCGGACCTCACTAACTTAGGGTTTTATACGCCTCACTTTATTTAATAAAGATACCCAATGTTTCAGTTCCAAAACAAGTTCCTTGGTAGAAGAGCATGGCATTAAAAATTGTACAGCTAGTGAGATTGTAGCAAGTACGTATATGAAGAACTAGCTGTTTGGGGCGCGTTCTCGCGGCTCGATTAAAGCTATGGTAAAACTCAAATCCACGTACCTCGGTTTGCAACGTTGCAGATTTCCTATCATACTTCATTATTTAAACAAAAAACTGAACAACGTCAATTCTTAATAACCCCTGTGATTTTTCTTCTGTGCGCGAGGCAAATTCTGAAGTGAACTTCGAGGAATAATGATTTGGTCTCATTTAAAAAAATACAATGGAAGGGGAATTTTTCAAATGCCGCAAAGGAGATACATGTTAAGGGCCGGATTTATCTGCTTGTCGCCCATGGGCCGCCTGTATTTTGCCGCCCCCTTCTCATTCGTTTTGAAAGATCAATAAAAACCATCAAGTGAACGTGTCGGAAGAAGAGGGGTGCATAAGACTCATTTTCTCGTGTTGGACACATTTTTTGCGAAAGCCCTGTCAACCCTATCTGCAAAAATTCACGGAACTTGGCGCGAAAGTTAAGCTCCGTAAACCTATCTCTGTGTGGACAAGGCGTCCCATTTATGAGGAATGAACAGAAAAATTAAGAACAAACATATGATCGCACTATGTTCGACGCAATGTGTGAAGTATTCCTGCGGTCTTGCAGGCGCTTTGCGTTTCACGCCGACCGCTGCTGAACGCACTGCGTTTGATGCTATGCGTGAAGTATTCATGCAGTCTTGTAGGCGCTATTTGTTACATTTGTTATATTTGTTGCACTCCAGGCCAGATTGCGTGTTTGGTTTCTCTCATAACTCGACTAATTAAAGGTGCTGTCTCTTTTATCACCGCAAAATGACAAAATTAGAAATTACCACACTCTCAGGAAATGAAAGATTTAGTCGTTTTTTTTCATTTGTAATTTTTTTTTTGCACCTAAATTTAAAAAAAATGCAAAATTTGCCGCCATGGGCCGCGGCCCATGTGGCCACCCCCAAAATCCGGCCCTGACATGGTTTGGAAGTTTTACCGTAGAAATGTACCTGACACGCCAATGGCGTTCCGATGAAAATATTTAAATAACTAATACAACGTGCATTTAATTACACTTCTAAATTTAAATAGCTAACTTCAATCGAACAGAAACAATGTGTACTTCAAAAGCTGCTCAACATTAAGGACTGCAAATACACTTTATGCTCAACATCCGTTCTAAAACTGGACTTGGATTTTTTAGCTACACAATGTCTGTCCAAATTTCATTGAAAAAAAGGCAATTTCAACAGCACAAAAGATCAAATTCATTTATATTGAATCGGATAGGATTTTTTTGAATCCAAATTCAAGTGCCGGTTAATTACACCGGAGCTTCCGGAGAGTTGATAGGGCGCAAAACAAATCAACCTTACGCAACGCGGGTAAAGCCGGGATAATCACTAAAGCGACTGACTATCCATGCAGGATCATCAATGCCTGTATCAATCAAAGTCAACCCGTCAAAACCAATCTTTCTCGCGAGCGGGAAAAAAATAAGCCCTCGTTCCGTTGGAAACCACCTCCACAGCAACTCTTTTCTTCCGGGGATGATTAAAGATCCCTTTGTTTATTCAAAATTCCGACGTGACATTTTCAGGTCCCCTCCCCCGCCCTTTGTGCCCCCTCCGTCCTACCCCATGCTATTGTGCTGCGCCAAATAGCGTTGCCGTAAAACTAGTGCTTTTGGTTCATTGAGAGACAGTCAAATGGAAAAATTAAATATAAATACTCCACAGACTCGGCCTGGGGGTGTTGCTTTGTTTTTTAGTTCAACTTTGTCGGCTGTAATAGGTTCCAGTGAATTTTCATTGTCACGATAAATGTTAGAAAATAAATTCATTTTTAACGAAAAGGGCTGAATGTACAGTACATATGTAGAGAATGTACATTGATTTAAGAGAAACTTTTTGGGTATTTTTCAATCAAATTTGAGTAAATAGTGTATTCAAAACTCTGAATATAAATGTTATTTTTTCCCAGATAAAGTGTCCGCAGGAAAGTTGACAAAATCTTACCAAAAAGTAGTTTTTAAAAAGGTTCTTTATTCGCGTGGATATTATTTTTAAATATCTAAGAACGGTCTCTTGAAAAAATAATTTGTCTAAATTTTTCTTAGGGGATCTTGAAGAGTACGTACTGCTTTTGAACGATCATTGATACTAAAAACACGAGGTGTAGAATATTTTAATACGTGACAAATTTTGATAGTATACAGTTTTTAGAATGTAATTTTCCGAAGCTAACAATTTTTTTTCACCAAGCTTCTACATGGAAAAAATAGGCAAGAAATTACTTGGAATCGTAATAAAAAACAAGGAGAAACATCCAACATAAAGCGTGCCGAACAACTGAAATTTCGGAGACATGAGCTTGAATGAATCGCTGAACCAAGAGCTAATAATATCAGCTGTTTTGATATGGCATTCTATCATGGAGTAATGCATAGGGCTCATGTTGTATAGTCAATGGGTACGAAGCACCCATTAAAGTGCGGCGGGAAAAAATATTCTAGATTCAAATCGCTCTAGCGTAAAAAAGGGTTTTTGAAGGATCTGTCAAATGAAATAATACGGTTTTGACCGGAAAATGTTCTCAAGGGTTTCCAATCAGCAGTTCATTCAGTTTTTTGGTAAAAGACCATCAGGGCTTGGCAGTATAACGGTTCAAAGACAAAAAAACGGGTCCGAGGAAAAAATATTTGGACGGCCCGTTGAATAGCATTGGTTTATCGGTGTGCTGTACTATGGTACATCCAAGTGATTTCAAAAAGCGAGCCCTACTGGCACGCTTAAAACTAAATTTTTTAAAAATAAATACAAGACTTGGGTTTAGAAGTCCATTTGATAAATACTTTAAAATCACGTGAGCAGAATTCTTTTTTTTTTTTTTTTTTTTTTTTTTTTCTCTCTCTCTTTTCCAAAATTGATAAATGATTCTTATAAAGTTGAATTCGATCCCTCCGAAATCATACCCGACGTTCTACTTTCGATAGAAGTCATTAAAAATAACTGCTTTGATATTAAATTTTACGATATTTTCTGTTTGTGCATGTGCAGAAACGAGAGAATCATTTTTTATGCTGTGAGCCATACCTCTGAAGCGTAGCTGTTTTTCTCATTGAAACTTTTTCACTGTACGGGAGCTGGTGTATTTTCAAATAAAACTAAACGATTCTGGTTAAAACAGTTCGTATTTCACTTTAGAATTTTCGGTGTCCGCAAAGAATCTCATTTCAGAAAAAAT